GTGTGTATGTGTGTGTTCGTGTGTGTGTGTGTGAGTGTGTGCGTGTGTGTGTGTGGGCTGTGTGTGTGGGTGTGTGTGTGTGTGTGCGTGTGTGTGTGTGTGAGTGTGTGCGTGCGCGCGTGTATGTGTGTGTGTGTGTGTGTGTGTGTGTGTGTGTGTGTGTGTGTGTAGCAACGTTGTGGAACCAAGCGCTCTTCAAAATAACGAAATTGAACAAAATGACATTTTTCTGTTCGTTGAGAAAATTTGATCGAATATTATTATGTTTAGCTCAACATCTTTTTTTTTGGTACATTTAAGAACACATTCCTGAATGGATTTTACACTTTAAAAGATTTTCCTTGGTGAAAGGCTCAAAATATGTAAATTTGAAATTTTCATGAAGACCAAGATTTTCTCTTTAATTAACCCTTTGACACCAGGCGACTCTCACTTCCTTCAATCAATATATAATAATATGTGCATAGATGTGCTATGACAACAAAACGGTCTACGCACTATCACCTTGAAAATACCTATCAGCAATGATACAAACGTAATGTTTAAGATAAACCAAACGTATTTCAATACTGTAACAACAACAACTGCCTTAATAAACTCAAATGTAAAATAAAAACGGTATGGGAGGGGGGGGGGGCTCTCGTGGCTTAGAGGTTAATGTGTTGGCCTCTCATTCAAAGGTCCCGGTTTCGAATCCGGGTAGCAACCGAAACATTTCTTCTCTAAAATTGTCTCCTTTCACCTCCTTCCCTGCTCTCTAGCAATGTTCTGTCGTCTGCTTTTGTCGCCTCTCTCTGCCCCTACTCCCTCACCTCCTTTGCCCCCTCCTCTGAGCTCCTGATTTTTTCTGTAGCCTTTCCACGTCTACTTCTTGGCTCTTTCTTATTACTGTCTTTCAGCCACACCCCTGATCTTCTGGTAAGAAAGATCTGCACCTAGCCTTCTCGGACAAGGGCGAAAAATCTCGAAGGGCACGTGTGCTGGTTGCGCACGTTAAGGATCCATTGGAGTTCTAAAATCGATAAGAGTAGGCTTCGACAGCCACCCTGGCAAAATTCAAAATTTCCTACCAACTGAAAAAGTTTAAGGTGTCCCGCACGCTCATATGACCTTATGCAGTTGTGAGCGCCGTAAAACACTTACCCCCAAAAAACAAACGATAAAAAGTCTATTTCAGAGCCCAACACCCCGCCCTTCGTTTATCAAAAATGTTAAAAACGTTATCGGATATATAGACAACATGACAGCCGCAGCTGTGCGTAGTAGACCAAGTAAGTTTCCTACAGAGGTTTCAGTCAGACTTTCAACCCCCTCCCCCCCCAAAAAAAAGCAACAAACAAACTAGCAAAGAAAAAAACAAAAAAAACAAAAAAAGAACAGAAAGCAGGCAGCCCCCCCCCTTCCCCCTTGCTCTAAAAAAAAACTTCACCAAAATCAACAACAACAACAACAATAACGACGATGACAACAACAGCAGCAACAACCACAACAACAACAACAACCACAAGCACAGTCCCATACTATGACAAAACAGTAGTGTGTTGAGTTGTGGACAATGGATATATGAGAAGCCTTCCACACCAGCATCACATAATAAATATCTAATCGTATTGTTCATATTATAATTATTGTTATTGTCCACAAGTCACCAACGAAATCATAAGGCAACTGTTCTTTTTTTGTTTTGTTTGGTTTGTTGGTTGTTTTTCTTTTTTCTTTTTTTTATGGTAGTGTGGTCCTGGGTAACGGCAGCAAACCAAGAAGAATCTGAAGAATATTAACTCACCTGGACTTGTAGGCACAACAGAATAACAACCTATTTGCTCAGTGAGCTAAGCCTTGGCCTTGATGAAATACAACACAATCTGTTTGTGGGCAAAGCAGCCTCTTCGCTTTGTTGATATCAAACACTGTCCAGGTTATTTGTGGACAGAGCGACACCGCGACGTTGCCTTTATATACCACAATCTATTTATTATGAGCAGAGCAGATTCTTAGCGCTGTTGGAATACAGCACAATCTGTTTGACGACAGAACAACTTCTTGGCCTTGCTGATAATAATAATATACAACACAATCTATCACAGGACACGTCAACTTCTTGGTTCTGATGCATTAAACAGCAGTAAACACTTAGTTAGTGGCGATGTAAATGTAGTCCTTAACTTTGGCTTTTTTTTTTCAGAGTCACTCTTTCGAAATGTCAAGTAAACTTTGAAATGTTGAGACTACTTACTTCTCGCCAGCGTTTTTAAAAATCTGTGATGTTTGGATTCACCTCGTGACTACAAACTAACACTTCCACACATCGGCTTCTTGGTCTTTAACTCCGCATCGAAAAAAACATCCAAAGGTCAAATCTAAAACTTCCACTGTTTTCATAAGCCACACATGCTCCCTTTTACAAAGTCAGAACAAACAATTGACTCTCACCATCTGCACTACATGAACATCCAATTACGAAATCCTCTATAGATTTGGACCAAGACTTCCTTAATCCCTTGTGGAGATGGTACTCTTACACAGAGACGCACTTTTGTGTTATCTTGCGGAAAAATACGGGGTTGTATCGATGATTCGTGGGATTTGTTAACCGATCTATGAGGGAGACGTCTGATGGCGTCTGTAGCGAGAAGTCCTCGTCTCCATATGTAAGCTTAGCTACGTCTGTGCCACTCTGGGCAGGGTGCCCGGGATGAGACATGTATCGAACTGTGTGTGTGAGTGTGTGTGTGTGTGTGTGTGTGTGTGTGT